AAAATGTCATGGATTTAGTCATTGTATTTTTAATGTGTTCAGAGCTGTGTAAGTGGGATAGGAATATATGTTTCAGGTTCAACTTTAGCATAAGGAAACAAATATCAGACTGTTCCCCACAGAGTGGTTCCATGTCCACCAAATTCTAAGGTCCATCCATCTTGATTCTGAGAACTGAGGTCATGGGTCATAAAGATTATTTGGTCTTAAAGGGAGGGAAGGGTTGGTTTAGGTTTGTAGAAGAGTATCATGAAATAAAATGTCATGGAATTCAGGAGAAATGTAATTGATGGGTTACTTGAATATTAGAACCAGAGGAACTTGGAAGCAGTATGCATTGTATGGAGTGGTTTGGCTAAGTGATCAATCTTTGGAGCCCAGCAGACCTGGATTTGATACATAATCTCTCTGAATCTTAATCACCTCATCGATAAAATGGGGACAATGATGGATTTTCCTGATAGGGTTATTGAGAGATATAGTTGACATCATACACATAAGGGATGTCCTTATGTGTCCTTCCTCATAACGGGATGACAACTGAATGATAGTTATTTATTACTCTATTCTGCTTGATTCTAAGGCCAACATTGTTTTTCTTTTTCTACATTTCACAAGTGTAAAATTAAGACACTCTTTCCTATCATATTTTGCAGCCCTTTGTTTTTCCTCCTGGATCATTGCTAAGAATTATTTCTAAGGAACTGGTGTCCATATGCTTTATCGAGGGTCACTCAATAAGTTGAGTTACTTTCCTAAGAGTTATCTTTTATTGCCAGTCCTATAGGGGAGAAGGAATGAGAAAAAAAAATCTTATCTTGATTTGAGGATTGTGGGAGTACTTTACATGCCATAAGATGCTGTGAGCAAATAATCAGTGGGCAAAGTTGTATCCGATAGTACTATGCTGACCAGAAGAAGCTGAGAATACCTCAGCCCAGCCAACAACATATGCCAAATAGGATATGGCAAAGAATGTGGAAGGTTCTGGAAATTTAGAATCTGCTCTTGACGGTGCCATTTACTGTGTAAGCTTGCCACATCAGGTAACCTCTCTGAGCCTGTGTTTCCTACTTCCTAAACTGCCCCTGTTGTCTTTGTTCTGAGGTTCAGGTGTGTGGAAGCTGAGGCAGTCTTGCCATTGGGTGAGTGCCCAGTGGACTGCAGCTGATTGTGATTGTTCCCTAGAGACACTGCCCTCACTTTGCTGTGCTTTTGCTTGGGATGCCTTATTCTATCTTCTTCACAATGATGGGTGTCCAGCCTATCCTTCAATTCCCATCTTGAATGTTACCTCATTGTTCAAGCCTGTTCTCACTCCACGTCCCCTCCCCACTCTGAAGGAATATTGCCTGCTTTTGGATCTATATGCTCTTTTAGAGGGATTTTTCAAATTCTGCCTTCTATTTGTGTTTTTCCTGTGCTGTTTGCTGTAATCCAGAAGACTGCCATACCTGTATAGGCCTTACTTTTGCAGTCCCCTATAGTGCTGCAAAGAAAATGAGATCAGAGTTAAGTGTTTGCTGAATAATGCCTGCTGAGTGTTAAGCAGTACAACAGTGAGCAAAACAGATGCAAGCTGAGCCTCCCCAGAGCCCACCCATGGCTCCCAGCAGGGTCACAAATGATGCTAGCCAAGCAGAAAATGCCCATGTCACCCACCTCAGCCCAGGTCTCCTGACTTCACTATCAGCTAATGTGTGACCGTGAATGATGGTCTTCTGGATGGTGCTATGCATTTGGGGAGGTTAGTCTGGCCCCCCACATGTTGATGCTGAGGAAGGCTTAGGAGGGAGCTGAGTTTGCCTGCACAACCTGGGGTCAGTGTTAACTGGGTCCTGAGATGCCCATAAATCCATAGTAATGACCACTTGGTTCTGGGTCTCATACTGGAAACAGCTACATTCTTCCTCAGGGAAAGCAGAAAAACCAGTTAGGGTGTGTGAGGCTCCATTTTATGTTGCTGTCAAGGGAGTGTTGGCTCACACGTCTGGAAATGTATGTTAAAAATCTGACCTTTGTCGAGTACGTTAGATGTGTCTGTTAGGTCTGGAAGACCCTTCCATGAGTTGTGTCTTCTGAACTGGCAAGTGGGCAGGACAAGAGCTTGGACTCCATACTTTTGCTTCCCACTGGAAAGGTGCCCAGTGCATTGTTGTGAGCAACATTGGGCTTCATGCAGTGTTCGCTGGTCCTGTAAAATAAACAGCTAGAAGTTCACCGGCAGGGCCGGTATTGAAGATCTAGCAGGACTTGAGGTACTGGATGCTGTGAGACATGATGTGGTGTACATTCTGCCATCTCTGTGTCCCTGGGTTTTGTGTCCTCTGGCACATAATTGTTGCCCAGCAAGTATTTGGAGTGAATAATTTTGTATTCTTTACCCATTCTATTATTCACTAGGAGATCAGTGTATTAGTTTCCTACTGTTTTAACAAATGATTGCAAACATGTTAACTTAAGACAATACAAGTTTATTCTCTAGCAGTTCTGGAAGCTAGAAATTGGAAATCCTCCAAGGCCACACTCCCTTTGGGTCTTCTTAGTCTATTCCAGACTTTGGTGGCTCCAGGCATTTTGTGCACTATGTGGGCATCCTTTTCAGCTTTGCTCCCCAGTTCCCACTGCTGCCCCTTCTCTGCCTTCTCTGTTTTATTTTTTAAAAAAGATTTATTTATGCTTAAAAGAACTGGGGTATAGGCTAGAAGTGCAGTGGTAAGAGGATTCACCAGAGATGGATTATGGAGCAGAATAGGTAGATTTACTGAAATACATTGCTGAGGGGAGCAGCAGGTGAGAGAGGAGAGGTCTGCTATGCCATGTGGGTCAGCTCCTTGGCCAGGGATCGAACTCATGCTGCAGTGGCTTCAGATAGCTTCATAGTGCTGCACTTTAACCCATTGTGCCACCAGAGAGGACCCCTTATCAGTCTTTTATTAATGTAAACTCAGGAGGAGTTTGAATAATCCAGGATGATTTTTTTATTTCATAAGTCTTTGACATCATTGCCTATGTGGACTTTTTCCAAATATAAGGTTCTGGAGATTAGGGTATGGATATATCTTTGGGAGGATACAATTTTCTGTAGAGGGGGGTTTAGGGTTTAGTATCTTTTTTAGCATGGCTTTTTTGGTCACATAGACTACTAGCCACTGACTTTGTGCTGTCCTTAGTTTATTGTTTGCATTTAAAGTGTGTGTGTGTGTGTGTGTGTGTGTGTGTGTGTTTAATATAGTTAGATTTCCCTTTTCCTTTATGGATTTTGGATTGAGAAAATCTTTCCCTAAGCTGTGAGGAGTTTCCTTAAAACACTAAAAATGGATCTACCATATGATCCAACAACTCCATTCCTAGGAATCTACCTAAAAGACACAAAAACATTTATTTGAAGGATGATACCTGCACCCCTGTGTTTATTGCAGCACTACTTACAATAGCCAAGGCAAGGATATAACCCAAATGCCCCCAAAACAGATAAATGGGTCGAGATGTGGTAGATACACACAATGGAATACTACTCAGCTATAAAAAAGATACACGTGCCAGTTGTGGCAACGTGGATGAAACTGGAACTGAATTATATTAAGTGAAATTAGTCAGAAGGAAAAAGAAAAATATCAGATAGTCTCACTTATAGGTGGAATATAGAGAAACCAAACAAAGAAGTAAGAAAAGATAAAACTTGCAAGTTGACCATTGGTCTGAAGCATACGGTAGGGGTCCAAAACTGCCCAACGTGAACAACAGTGTAAGAAAATAAATTTAATTATAAAAAACAGCACAAAAGAAATTCCCTATGTAGTGTCTCCCAAGTAATCATTCATGTTAAAATAAAACTGCAGGAAGTTGATTGAAATCCAGTAGTAATTTGTTTGGTCTATGCTGTGAGGTGTGAGGGCCTGTATTTTAGTAACAAATAACTCATGTCTATGTGTGGTGATGCTTGCACATGAACAATGCAGAGAGACCCTGCAGAGTCCAGGAATCTCGAGGATGGGGTGGGGTTCGCTCACTGTACTTGCCATCTCCTGCCTTTGATAATGTGCAGTTACCCCAGATGCTGTCCCTGGGGGGTAGGGACTAGGCAGCCCTCTCTAGTAGTTTTATAGCTTTCATGCATCTATTACTAAAATTTTTCTAAACAACTAATCAGACTTACCAGCACCCATCATGAAGCAATTTATTCCATCTTATTTGTGAAATGTCCTAAATTGAGTTGTGATATGTGCTGTGGTGTTTCAAAATTGTGTTAAACTTACTTAATTTGGAAAAAATTAACTAGATTTGATTTGTGGTTTGATTTGATTTGATATATGGTTTCCCCCTCTAGGAAAATGCTGTATTTTATGTCCCAGTAAAATGTGTACACTTTCCTCAGGTTATTTATAGATACTTTACAGTTTTTTTTTTATTGTTGTTATTAGGGATGGATTTTCTCTCTCTTTCCATTTATAGTCTTTAACCTGTTTGTACTGGTTACATGTCACCAAATAGAATCCCCACACCCCCTTCAAATACATGAAATTCTTTTAACTTGGGAAAATGCTTTTCATTCTGCAATTAGAGACAATGTTTAACAGGCTTGCATTTGTTCCTTTAGACCTATTCTCAGGAAGGGTATAGGCAGTTATTTACTGTAATGTTGGCTTAAATAGATGTGTTTTCCACTTAAGTGAATTAAGGGTATTTTTTTATTAAGAAATATGAAATAATTTTCCATAAATTTAATGCTATCTATGCTTCATTAAATTCTATTTCCTTGAAAGTCACAGAGGCGCTATCTCTTGAGATGTCATGTGTTGTGTTCCCTGGGGTGCCTAGCCCAAGAAGGCCAAATGGACTACTGGGGTTTCAAGACAGAGAGCAATCTGAGCTGGCCATGGGCTGTCTGCTTTCTTCCTTAGGGCGGGGTAGGCTCAGAGGATGATGGGACATCTCTAGTTGGGCCCCAAATTTGAAAATACCCATAAATGGACAATGCACTCTTAACTCCTCTCCAGGTCAGTCTTATGAAATCCGACTGCTGGAGAATCGCAAGTTGGGAGACTTTCAAGATCTAAACACAAAATATGTCAAGGTAAGGCTGAGGGATTGCATTCCTAGCCTGGGGGTGCTGGTTAGATGGTTAGGGTCTGAGCCTGGCCTTGCTGTCAGTGGTCAATAAAAGCTGGCTGGTTCAGGAACGCTTCAGAGGAAAAGCTGCATCCCTGTCGTCCAAGGGACTGGGCCAACGCTGCAGTGTTGACAGCCAGAGTGGTGGATGGGCGCTGCATTGGACGCACGTGGACTTAGGCTTAGCTTTGCTACTCACTGAGCTTTGCTGAGCTTCAGTTTGTTTACATGCACACAAGGACCTGCGAGTTAGCCACTTAAATGGGTGGAGAGAATGGCAGGTGTCACTCTGTGCTGTTACGTTGGTGGGGTGCCAAGGTGGGAGGAACCCCTGGAACCCTAGAACTGGGAAGGAGAGCTATAGGAGAAGGGACCTTGAGGGTGGGGAGGCTTGCCCTGAAGTGGAGGACAGACTCCTCTTGGGCCACCTGAGCCCCTACATTCAGTTTTCTCCCCGCTGGTCTCTCCTTCCCAGAGCATCATCCGCGTGGTTTTCCATGACCGTCGGCTGCAATACACTGAGCATCAGCAGCTGGAGGGCTGGCGATGGAGCCGGCCTGGGGACCGGATCCTGGACATTGGTGAGTCCCTGGCCAGAAGGGGCCCAGTGTACTTTAGACACATTGGGGTTCTTCTGGGTGCCACCTGGGCCCATGCCTGTCCAGGGCATCTCCATGCATGCCTGCCTTGTGTAAAACCCCAGGGGAGCTGGCCGATGTGAACATGCCACCCATCCTGTCCTTTCGTGGAATTCACTGAGATGGGCAATGGAAGAGGAATTTGGGGGGCCCAGGTCCTGGTCCATATTCCTTTAACCACAACCCTTGGGACCAAATGGATTTGGAATTAAGAAGTTTAAAATGACAACTGGGTGCACTGACCCATAGACTGGGTAACAGCTCTAAAAGGCAATCAAGCGCAGTAATATTTTTGCAGGAAAATAAAATGACTGTTCACACAAAATGGGATAAAGACTCTAAATAGCTTCATGGTAATTCAAGTTGGGCTTTCTGCCAATTGAGTTATGCAAACCTAAGTTTCAGGACTTTTGGCATTTCAGATTGTGCTTAAGGAATTTGGGCCTGTAATGAGAGTGCTTCCGTAAATATCTGGGAGTGGCTGACAATTGCACTTTTGTGTGTATGTGTGTATACAGATATTCCACTGTCTGTTGGTATCTTGGACCCCAGGGCCAGCCCAACCCAACTGAACACCGTTGAATTTTTGTGGGACCCTTCAAAGAGAGCCTCTGCATTCATTCAGGTAAGTGGGTTGGGGCGGGGGTGGAGAGGAGGTTGACCTCCATGGAGGAGCTACAACTTAGAGGTCCACTTGTTGTGTCTCAAGACCAACCCTGAGGGATTGCTATTTTCTGTTTTCAGGGGAAGGGGCTGAGGGGAGGGAGTAAATGTGCTGCTCAATCCCAGAGCTAGTGGGTCATTATGGTGGGCAAAGTGCTTAGAATGTTTTAGGGTCATGGGTCAGTTCTGCTTATGAATATGTTAGTGTCTTAAAAAGAAATGCTTCCTTGCAAAGTCATTTGAAGTAAATTATTTTTCCATCATAGTTTCTATTACTAAGCTAGTTATTTAATTATCAAGCACCTAGGGTGGACCCAGCCTTGCGTCAAGCATGACAGATGACCTAGGTTCTCAAGGGCCTGGCTGAGCACTGTGCTTCTGGGCTCAGCCCTGCTCACTGACTTACATATGTCCCATTTTTGAGTCTTTTAGTGTCCTGATGCCTTTCATATAAGTCAGATAATGAGCATAAAGCTATTACTGCAGGGTCCAGTGTATAGTACTCATTTAGTAAGTTAGTGATTTCCCCTATTATAATTACAACATAGAACTGGGGTACAGGTTAGAGGTGCGGGGGGTGAGAGAATACACTAGAGACAGAGTGGGAAACAGAACAGGCAGATGGACTGAAATACACTGCTGAGGGGAGCAGTGGGTGAGACAGGAGAGGTCTGCCGTGCCATGTGGGTCACTTCCCCGGCTGGGGATCAAACTTGTGTTGCAGTGGCTGCGGATTGTTTCATGGTGCTGTGCTTTAACCTGTTGCACCACCAGGGAGGGCCCATCATATTCTTGAGCTGAAAAAGTAGTACAGTATTGTTGTATTACTATAATAATAATACATCCATTATTTCAGTATAATAATAAATATCTGCTGGATATATTTTGTATAGTAGGTAGTTGGCAGAAATGCCTGGTCCAGGTGGCCTTGGTACCAGTTCTCAGGGTCTAAGCTTGGGCCTTTCTCTGCAGTCTGTAATAGGACTTGTCAAGGCAGAGACCTCTGGGTGAGGCACAATGGTGGGGCTGCTCAGGTCAGCAGACCCATGGCAGAGCCTTCAAAGGTCAAGGGTCAAAGGTGGGGAAGTATGCGGCCTTTGTGATCAGGGGCCGGGGTAGCCACTGACCTGACAAGTGGACAGTGTCTTGGAGAGCAGGCAGTTGAGGCCTAACCAGGCAAGTGGGAAATCTCCATTTGGAGAGGTGCCCCGGGTCATCCAGAGCCCACCCTCACCTGGTTCTTGTGACCTGCCCCCTCTCTTCCTTTCCAGGTGCACTGTATCAGCACAGAATTCACCCCTCGGAAGCATGGGGGTGAGAAGGGAGTGCCTTTCCGAGTACAGATCGATACGTTTAAGCAGAACGAGAACGGGGAATACACTGAACACTTGCACTCCGCCAGCTGCCAGATTAAGGTGTTCAAGGTAGGCGGGCCTCACGCCCACCAGCTGTACTGGTGATCCCACCTGTGCTCACTTGCACTGGACAGTGATACAAGCGTCAACTTGCTCAGAGGCCCAGGAAGGGCCTGCATCTGGACTCCTGATGAGCAGTGAGCTGCGTGGCTGGGATGAGGGGCCCCTTCTCGGCTCCTTCGTCACAGATGTCAGGGCTAAGATTGATTGGACTCACATTTTTAGAAAATTGTTTTCTTCTTACACACTTGTAGCTGCACATAGATTCTGTGGTTGCCTGGAGACCCTCTGTAGGTTCCTGATCTTCGATCTTATTTTATTTAGGGCCTGAGGCCATTTTAGCTCTGCAGTGTCTTCCTGTTGGCCAAAGAAATATTTTGGGATGCGTCTCCTCTCCTTTCTTGCCTCACCCTCTGAAGTCATCTGTCACTGTTTTCCGTGCATCTTTATGGATTAATTGCTTCTTAAAGATGGAGGCAGGGGGTTTGCAACAGAACCTGTGTGTCTCGGGGGTGACCTGCTGTACCTAGCAGCACCTCAGCCTCAATCCTCTCACAGATACCTGCCCATCATCTTGGGGGACTCCATCGGGTGCCTGGCCCACCTTTTGTACATCTACAGTACATCTTCACCCTTTCCTTCTTTTATGTTTGAGTGAACTTGAAGCCTACTGAAAAGATCATCTGCTGGAGCTGGAGATCCAAGAGTGAGCTGCTCTAAAAGGAGTCTTTCTGTGCTGCTCACCTGGGCTCAAGATGGGGGTAGAAATAAACACCCCCAGGTTGGATTATAAACCCCAGCTCTGAATGGCTTATCTGTGCTGTTCTCAAGTAGACGGGAAGCCCCTGAAGGCAGGGCTTTGCCACTTCCCTCACTCTCAGACCTTCCAGACAGTCTGGTTATGGTAAACACTTGCCAGTGATGTAGGGGGCACCCATGCCTCTTGCTGTAGATGAAGCAGAGCAAAAGTTGATGGCATGGGCATTCAGAAACCACACAGCAGGCTGCCAGTGACGGCATGAGGCCCCTGCGGGACTGTGGATTGGGAAACTCTGGTCAGTTCGTGAATCCTCCTGGGTGAGGAGGGGCCATGGTCGTATGAGCCCCCAGGCTTGTCTCTCCACCACTGCAGTGATGGCTGCAGAACCCTGTCTGAGGATGCTGATGCTTTGAATGACCGCCAAAGGAAGCCATGCTTCTCCAGTGTGTTTGCGTCCTGTCTGTGGGAACAAATTGGGAGTTTGAAGCTTCACACTTGTATTATCACTCATTACTGGAGGTCAGAAGTATGACATGGGTTTTGGTGGCTGAAGTGAATGTGTCTGCAGGCCGCACCCCTGGAGGCTCCAAGGGAGGAGCTCTGACCCTTGCAGCTATGGAGGTCGCTGTGTTCCTTGGACA